TTAGCAGTGACAAAAAGTCGACTCTGTTGCCGCGACAGCAGATTGCTCACAAATGAAACGATCTGCCTGGAAATTAACATCTGTGGAAATCTTGTCCTCCTGCCAGAGGAGTTTAACAAGTGTTTTTTAAATTTTTTATTTTTTTTTCTATGCCTCTGTCTGTGGCTGCGTCTACATTTTATTTCCAGAAAGGGACTCACTGTAAATATGATGTCTTTTTGTAATTTTATATGCCTCTGTCTGTGACTGCGTCTACATTTCATTTCCAGAAAGAGACTCAATATAAATATGATGTCTTTTTGTAATTTTATTTTACATTATACTTAAGGGGGCTTCAATTTAGCTATTTTTTTTAACGCTTTAAAATGAATTAAAAAGGGGCAAATGGCAATGGTTAATCTTTTTTTTTTTAATATTCATATCAAGTACTTTTTTGGTGAAATATCTGCTGTAAATTCTTCCATCATAAATATGAGTCTATCCTTTAGAATAATCAATACAAAAGCCCTTTAAGATACAGAAATGATCTCTGTCTTATAAAGTGTCGAGGCCTTTTCCCCCCCAACCCCCCTCCCCCTCTTCACTTAATACAAAATGTTGCAGTAACCTCCAAGTGTTCAAACTTCATCTTTTTAATCAGACTCTGTTGACTCTTTCATCAGTTTGGTCTCCACATATTTATCTTTGAAGATTGTTTTTCTCACTTCAGTCTAAAGTACAGTCACTTAGTCCTCAAGTGAAAACGCAACATTTGAAAAATACAAATTGTAATATGTTGTTCAATAACTAACTTACCAACTAAGTAACTAACTAAATAAATACACTTTTAAAAAAAAAAAATTAAACACGGAATTAATATTGATCTCCTGGAGGCAATCACTGGTGTTACAGCGAGAGAAATCTAATTAGGTTTAAGGAAAAGAAAATCCTAAATGATACGTTCGTACGAGTCGACATTTAAATGTGAAATTTAACGTGTTGGTGTAACATCTCATTGGAATCGGTCCAGATTACAGCACAGAGACTGAAATATCGTATGGTGAAAAACCACCGCAACAGGCTGTACATTAACACTAATGTGAATTATTAAAGTTAGCTAGAGTTGTCCATGCGGGCTAATTTTCTGATCTCATAGACGTGTCCTGGTTTTTAGTGGCTGCGGTTAAAGCTGAAGAATGTGTCATTTTCCTGAAACAGTCTGTGGTAACAGTGCCCTCTAGAGTCACATCTCTGGTGACTAGAGGTGGTGTTTTTCTTTCTTTGTAGTATTCCCGGTGACGTTCATTCCTCGCAGTAGACTTTCCTGTCCTGGGGTCGTGTTGGATAATCCAAATGATGGAATTGTTAATATGGATGAGATTTGGAGAATATTATGCAAAAGGATGAAAGTACCTTCATAGACTTGGATTATAGTGGATTATAGTCGTTGTGGTGCATCATGACGGTGGCCCGGGGGAATGAGTCGAGAATTGCTTTTGAAAACTTTGGTGAAGTCGTTGTCCTCAGCGATCCATTTGACAGTTGTGTCAGTGTCGGTCAGCTTGTCAGTCGTTGACTCGACTGTCTGTCCTGATCTCAGACCAGGTGTCTGACGTGAAGATGAAACAAGAGAAACCATCTCAACACACACACCTGTTACGTGTCGAGATGGTATTTTAAACTCGATTCACTTCTGTGAAACTTTTTTTTTTTTTTCAGCAGCGTGTGCAAATAACATATAAATCATTAGCGCAATGATGAGCGTCTGGAAGGAAATGATCAGATAAACATTATCGTCATTACACCCACATGTTAAAATGTGTAAAAAAAAAAAATTGTGTATCTCGGACCAGATCAACATCATCTTTAAATTATTTAAACGAAGCATTAACTTATAGACACCTGCGTGACATGTCTTAACACGTTTTCAATTATTTAAAATTTGATCTTTTGGGAATTTATTACACCTGTCTTAGAACTTTTTGACTGACCCTGGTGCTTTGACATTGATAGTAAACACCAGGAGGCGTTCCCTGCTTCTTTACAGTTCCCACACGGCTAAACAGTGTTTAATGTGTTGACGTTTGACCATCATCATCACCATCATCATCATTATCATCATCATCATCATCATCATCATCATCATCATCATCATCATCATCATCACTGACCCTCCGACCTTCTCTGACTGACAGTCATCATAACAACATGCAGAGGCTGAAACATCAGTGCCATTAGTGTCATTACACCAGCGGTGCCACAGACACGACTCCTTCCTACAGTAATGACCGAGGCTCCACAGGCTGGAAGGTTCCACCCCGGCTCCACATTAGGGAACACTTCCCCCGAATTGAGAACACTGTGCAGTAAATTACATATTAATGCGTTGCTGTGAGGTGATTATTATAATTCGGAAGATTATGGAAATTCCCGGCGTATAGCACCGACTGGCTAATTGCTACATTAATGCTAATTGGAGAGCCTCTTATTTTGAGTGTTGGCTTTTACTCTGAATTACCATAATCAGGAAAAACGCTCCCTGACAAGAAAAAACAAAAAATCAAACAAAATTCTTACCTCACTATGAGTTTGTGTGAGGGCTGCTGCTTACTTCACTATGAGTTTGTGTGAGGGCTGCTGCAGCTGGGTCAAAAATAAGTTGATTAGAATTATAGTAATACTATATATGTGTATATACAGTATGTGTAGTAATATATATATGTATATGCTATATGTGTGTATATATTATAGAATATATATGTATATATGTATGCACATATATGTCAAATATATGTACTGGATATATATGTATATACATATATATATATTTATGTGTATATATGTGCAGTAATATATATATGTATTTGATATATGTGTGTATATATTTATATACAGTACATATGTATATATGTATGCACATATATGTCAAATATATGTACTGGATATATATACATATATATATTTATCTATATATGTGTATGTATATATGTATATATTTTATCTATATATGTGTGTGTATATATGTATATATATTTATGTGTATATATGTGTGTATATACATATAAACATATATTAGTGTATAATAAGTGTATATGTGTATAAATATATGCTACACCGTATAACATATATAACCTTATATCCTATTATTATGGATGGATATTTGGTTTTTAAAAAAAAGGTTCCGCACTAAGGTCAGGGTTCATCACAGGTGTGTGTTGAAATGCGAGGGTGAAGCTAGTGCGTGGGTGAGACGAAGAGAGTGAGAGATAAGTGGCCGTTAGTGACCCCTGACTAGAAAGATGGACTTTTATGGCCTCATTGATCCTAATCTCACACAGGGAGCTGAGGGAGATCAATATGGGAGAGACGGGGGGAGAGGGGGGGAGGGACGGTGAGTGTTTGTGTTTTTCTCACCCCTGTTTGGACTCCAGGCTGGAGACAATATTCCGAAGTTGTTTGTTACAAAAACTGGCAGTGAGGTTTCTGGGTGAAGGTGAGAGCGGGGGACGACATTTTGGGAACCTGACATCACTGTCACCTCCTTTTAAATCGTCTGTTCTGTGGGTAAAGACGCGGCTGCTCTGGGGACGTCTGCCTGTTGTTTTCGTGCGGGCGCTCGGTGCTGGGAGGTTTTTCTCTCACCTCGCGTCTCAGGCGGCATGTGAGAATGAGATAGCGACTCTCAGCGGGCCGCCGACAAGCAGATGGAGAATAAATCAATAAGGAAGTAGAAAAGCGAGAAAATGGAGGGGGCAAATAAAGAGGGAGGGGAAACAATTTTGGTTGCAGGTGCAGACTGGAGTGTGTGACAAATCCCCGCGGGGTTGGTTGCCATACCTGTGCTTATATTAGAGTAATGTCGGAGCGTTTTCGCAACAGTCACTTACTTTGAGAATATTTACTGTGCCGCCCGCCTGGAACCTGCCGGCTCACAGCTCCGTGTCCACAGTAACAGGTAAACAGTACGTGGGAAAAAGGAAAAACCCGAGTATAATATATGTAAAGTGTACTACATATATTTGATGGTTGTCAAGATTGCAATAAATTAATTTGTCAAATTCATTAATTTCAACTAAACACGCTCATTTTCTAATAAGTCCTCGGTCCATACACGTTATTTGCACACACTGTTGGAAAACATTTTAGTTAATCATGATTAATCGTTAGTCCATCCACGTTATTTGCACACATTTTAGTTAATCATGATTAATCGTTAATTACGATCATGATTAATCATAAACAACTACGATACGATAAATCATGATAGCCCGTTGTGATTTATCAGATTGAAAAAATTGTAATCGTTTGCTAGTCGTAAACTTTATACGAATTCTCGTGGAGGTTGAAACAACTTTTGTTTTTGACGCTGCATTAATGAGAATGATTTTTTTCCCCCAACTTTATCCTGATAGTCAACATATTTTTAAAATGTATCTGAGGCACAGAAATAAAAAAATACCATCATGAATAATCGGGATTAAACCACAGCTCCTTCTGATTAATCAGATGAAAACTCTGAAGTGACAGCCCTCACAGACAGTATCTGAATCCTCCTGATCCTTGTGAAGAAGTCCACCTCCATACCTTTACATCATAAAAGCTTGAGCTGAATTCTGGTACTTTTTTTCTTCTTCTTCTTCTTTCGTGATCTGACACCTCGGAATTGCCCCCTGGTGTCTCAAAAGAATCAAGCAACAACTCCTGGCTGTGTGGAGAATGAGGCCCATTCGAAATACCACTCCATCTCAGCAGAGACCTCTGATGTCAGATGTTCTTTAATGAAACATCTCACTCAGATCTGTGTCACCCCTCCACCCTCACCCACCCCACCTCCACCCTTCTGTTATACCACGAGTATCAGTAAGAGTGAGAAAACTGGGGAAAAGAAGGTCTGACCTTTGTGTGTGAGTTAGACAGAGAGAAAGGGGGAGAAAAGGGGGGGGGGAAAGGGGGGAGGCAGAGACATCAGTGGTGTCAAACACAGTCAGCATCAAACACAGAGGACAGAAGTCGGTGGGAACATTCTAGAAGCCATTTAATACGATAGATGACAAATATATATTTTACCTCAAAAAATCTACTGACATCACAGCTCATTTCATTTTAATTATTTACTTGTTTTGCATTTAAAGACGTACGGTTTTCTAAAATAATTCTATTTGAAATAGGAAACTAGAACTCACTTGCTCCTGCGTCTACATGCTTTGGTGTGAAATGTCTTTCTCATATTTAAAAAAACAAACAAAACAAAAAAAAAAACAAAACAAAACAAAAAGCTCAAGTTCCAACGTCGGAAGAGTGCCTCTTGTGGAGCTAAACTACAGCTACATTAACAAGAACTATTTTTTTTCCAAAGGTAGTTAGTTTAATTTTCAAGTTCAAACTTTATATTGCTACTTGTCCTAGCTTGCTTGCTAGTTAGCTAGCTTGCCTAGCTAATCGTCGCAATTTGGTTAGAATTCCTACTTTAAGGAAATTTAAACTACAAACAAATGCAAACAACAAGTTCACATTTGACATTCAGTCTACAATCGTCCGGGATTAAGTCTTCTTGTTCTTTTATTTATTTATTTTTAACATAAGCTACAAATTAGCCTTCATTTAAAAATCTGCATATGAAGAGTCGGCCATGTTGCTACAGCAGCTGTGAATGGACAAACTTCTCAGGTCTGATTGACACAACATTCACTTCATTTCTCTGATTGTTCCAATGTCCTGAGGTTTAAGGTTTTGTTTGGAGTGAGGATTGGAATTAGGGTCAGATTAGATTTGGTGTCAGGATTGGGATTAAGCATGTGTTTGTTATACTGCAGTAAAGTTAACGGCTATAGAAGTGTTCCAATGCGTGTGTGTGTTCCTGGTGTAGATATACTTGTGGGGACATTTTCAGGTTCCTTATAAGTCAGAGGGTATGTTAAGGTTTACCTTGGACTTTGGATTAAAAATTGGGGTCATGAGTCAGTGTAAGGATTAGCATTATTAAGATCAGAGCTAAGGGGTCGATGGAATGCTTTACGTCTATGTGGAGTGCTCCCAAAAACAAAAAACATGTTTGTGTGTGTGTGCGCGTTTTGTTTTGCTCATCCACTGACATTTATTTAATGTTGATTTTTGTGATTTTGGCCGAGTTGGTCGGTAAAACCTCACGAGTCCAGAGACTAATTAGTTAAGCTACGTCGTCACACCTGCTCCTAAATAAATACATTTTCAAAACAGAAACACAGACTAAAAATTCCTCCGCTGCCTTCTTTTTCCAACATTTTCCCGGGAACATCAAGACCAGCTTGACCCTCTCATTTCTCAGTCCACACCACTGATTATCCGTAATAACACTAACGGTGTATAATTTCCGCCTAATCCCAGTTGACGGCCTGAGCGCCGCTGCTTCCAGCCAAAGAGAAACTGAGCCTTCGAGCCACAGGTGCGGAGCAGCAGCGCTGAGACACAGTGAATCACTTAGCAACCACTTTGCCTTATTACCCAGAAGCCACCGGGGTCCTGTTAGTGTATTAGCAGGGTATTCAGTTCGTTTCATTAGCGCCCCTGGCTCATATCTGCTTTCACCTGAGTCAGAGATGAAATATATTTTTCCCAAAAAGGGAGCAGCAGATTGCATGTGTGGGCTTTCTTTTATTTTATTTTATCCCAGCTACCGCCCTGGCATTTAGGTGTTTTTTTTTTTCCTTTTTTCTTTCCTTGTATTTATTTTATCAGTGCAATTCACAGGTTGTTTTTATTGGATATTTTATCCTCCTCGGCTGCTCCTGTCTCGTCTCCACCTCTGAGAGGAGACAGAAACAGCCTCGGTGCTGATGTGGGAACTCTCTCTGTCTAAATGCTTTGAGTCCTGAGCACAGGACGGTTCATCTCTGTGGGTTTGAACTCCCACACTGCCTCTGTGGATGGTCATCTTTCAATTTTAATAGCTGGTGGCAGCAGCTTCCTATCTTGACTTGTGACAGTTTATTTATTTATTATTTATTTTTTTCTATCATTTCATCATGTCGTTGGTGCACTGAGAAGACTCCCTGCGCTAAAGAGATACGCCGTGCCAACAGTTGGCAGCTAGGTGGTGTGTATTTTCCGGGCCAAAATTCTTTGAGACGAGTGAAGCTTTGTGAAGTGATTCTCTGTGGCCAAATGTCACCGTTCCGTCTCTCAGTCCACGTGCTGTTGGCCTGGGTCCGGGGCTGAAAGTGGACCGGGGTCGTCCAACACACACTGCTGCGGCTGCTGCTCCTCGATGCCGCGGGCGAACAGCCTGACCAGCCCACACCGGACACTGAAGAGAGAGAAAACACCAACAATCCATCGTCATTAAAATGACTCATCACCGAGGAAGTCGAGAAAATGAAAAAGCACAAACGCAGCCTGGTTTTGTCTTCGTCTTCGGTCTCGGAGCGACAGCTGCGGATGTTTGATGTACTTCCTGTGGCCCTTTTTTTTTTAAGGACCCCGGGATGAACGCGGTGCAGCAGTGGAGCTGTTTTCTGCAGCACTGCAGCGTAGTGTCTGCCAAGTGTTTTTAAATCCCTCATTTTGGCTAAGACAAAAAAATGTTCAGTCTTTATTTTGTGCCACACTGGAGGAATTTAGTTTCTGTTTAAAGAATGGACTTGATTGTTTAAACCAGTGATGGTTTTAAGGCAAAAATGTTTTTTTTTCAGACTGGTTTGTTCCCACCAGTTCACGTTCATCGTTTTAGTCCAGGAATTGAACTCGGTGTAGCTTTAAGAGCAGAACTCTTCCTCCTCTTCCTCCTCTTCCCCTCTGACTTTCTTTCCCGTCTCGCTCGGCTTATTACCATTAATTATTCGCAGTAGGGCAGTCGCACTTCCAGAACGATTAGCAGAGAGGGAAAAGGCCATAAATGGATGGACTGCTGCTTTAATTAAAGGGGAGTAGCTTTTTAACACGGGGAGGGCCGTTAAATTAGCAACATTACAGCGCCATGCATCATTGGCCAAAGACAATGGAGCATGAAATAAATGATGCGTCAGACAGAGGCTGTATAATGATCTGATAGGGTGAAAGGCTGAAGTGTGGACAGAGGCAGAGTAATGGGAGAAGAGGGTGGGC